ATCATCATCATCATCATCATCATCATCATCATCATGCAGCTTGACTTTAAGCAATAAGCGACTTTCCTTGATCATAACTACAGCCAGTGGCTATTATAGCTCTAACTGTCAAGATCATCTACTGTCCGTAGCATTGCCTGGTCCTTATCTAACAATACACCTATATGCCTAATAAGCAAATTAGCTGGACTTTCTCCACAAAGAATCCATTGATTCTTTTACTACACCAATTTAAATGGATGAAAATGATGAATGTAGGGAGTGGAAAGAAATACAATGGAATTTAGGGGTTTATGGTTTGGGCCAGTAACATGTTTCATTGAATGATCCAGACAAACAAATGATCAGCATAGTTATCTCATGCCTGTTCCAAATTTTGGAGTAAGTCCCTACTTAGAAGTAATTACTTCTGAGCAGAGGTTTTCTTTCTAATCTAATTTTATCTCAAGTAGGAGAAGCTGGAAGTTATGGAGTACTTCAGAGCTGGAACACAGCAGATTTCCCCTGCACATTTTTAAAGAGAGAGCTTTATTTTTAAAAAAACAAACATTTTATATTTTGAGGAGTATTAACAAACAATGAGAATCCATTTAAACAAATGTTGTGTCTTGCCAAATCTCTCCCCCCCCCCAACTGGGTCCTCAAGGCACAGTTATATCTGGTTGCTGTAACAGCATGATTATATTAAGTTGTTTAACTTTGATGTTGGTAAACAATGAGGGGAAACTATCTTTCTGAGGGCTGAAAGCAAAAGCACTTACATGACATGCCAAAAAGGGGGCTTCATCATGAATGTCTATTTTTTTTAGAAAACTGCAAAAGCACATAATTTCAGGTATGAGCTTGACAAAAGCTGAATTTGAGAAGTTCTAGCCAAGCCTTCCTCAATCTGCTTCCATCCAGATATTTTACATTACAACTCCCATAAGTCCCAAGCCAAAATGGCCAATGTTCAAGAACTGGGGCTTGTGGATTCTGAAACAACTGGATGGTGCCAGATACTAGAAAACTGATAGTCTTTAATGTGTCCTAGGTTTCCTGTTACAGAAAAATAAAATAATAACTTTGCTGGATGAATTCCACATTTTCTCCATACTTTGAGGTTATATGTGAATGCTGCAATGTAAATGTTTAATACTTGAATTTGTATAGAACACAAATATATATCCATGTGCATTGGAGAAGAGTTGGCAACAATAATTTTACAATGTTGAATGGGAAAGAAAGCCTTCTGTCAGAAGCTATGGAAGTAATCTGAATTTAGTGAGCTAAATCAAATTTTAGTTTCAATTAAAAGACTCACGTAAGGGTTGGCACAACAAGTTTCATTACTCCAATATTTATCTATTTGTGATTAATAACAGGATGTAGGCCATTTTTTTAAAAAATCAACCTCTATAAAGACTGAGTTACATAACTTAATCATATAACATTCATGTTAGCAAATTTATGTGATATTGCTGTGCTATCATACTGGTTACTAATGGCATTCTTTAAAATTATCTTAAAGCAAATGGTCTTCAAGAAAATCCTTCATATAGGCTTTGGCACACAACTGTGGGAAGCACCTCTTGTACAGTTACTAAGGAAACGACTTCAAAGTGGGAACTTACCATCTGTCATTCCTTCCCTACGGTGAGGCAATGGAGGTTGGTCCACTCTGCCTCCCTTGTGTTTTTTGGTAGGCCTAGGCCTTTGACTCTGATTCTGGGCTGCATTGGTGTTGCTGTCAGAAGAAAATGGACTGGTTGGCCGAGGCCTCTGAGAGGAGGAATATGGTTTGCCTAAAAACAAAAGTTGAAATTAAAATATTATGGTAGTGATGGACCAATGCCTTTCATGTGAATGCTCTAATATTCTTAGTTTATTATTTGGGCTACCTCACATGTGAACTCTTGAAGATGATTTTATTTATGGAACACACCATTGTAAAGTGAAAGAGTAAGCACTATATTTTATTAAGATTAGATTACATAGGTTCCTGTATATTTGCTGATCACCACTTTTTTGTATGCTAAACAGTAATATTATATTAAACATCTTGTTTTCTTTGGAGCAGCAAAATTTACACACTGTGTCTGTTCTAAGAAGAAAAGGTCTGTGCCCTGGACAAGGATTCCACATCCTTTGGTAATATTCAACGTACTGCATCTTGGTATTATCTATCTGTTGTATTCTGTGATGTCCTTCCACCACTGCTGTTTGATTAAACCCTGCCCAATAACCCCAGATCTTCAGAGAGTTTAGTGTCCTTCAGGAACAGCTTTAGGGTTACACTGAGGGCTGCAGGAGATAGGAGGCAGTGGGAAAACATTGGAGCATATAATATTGGATGTAATAAGGCAGATTTTAAAAGGTAACGGTTTATTTTGGGGCTCAAACATTCAAGAACAGACCATTTCGGTTAATAATTCTTATGTTTCCATGTGTATGCATGCACATGTTAATACTTTATGAAATATGTTAGCCATTGGCTATTAGCTGAATCATCATTTCCAGACGTAATGGAATAATTCTGTTTCTTTCTATTAAATAGACCTGCATTAGCAGAAAGTCTTCCCCACTTACATATATAAGGTAAAATGCTTCATTTCTTTCAGAATATTTACTTTTTTATTAGGCCAAAAACACAAGAAAAAAAATAAAGAAGACAATTACATTGTGACACCATAAAGACTAACTACTATGTTTTAATGCGAACTTTCATCCGCTTCCTCAGACTTGTCCAGGAAATATTACATTAAAATCTATCAGTTAGTCTTTGATGTGCCACAACATTGTTGTCTTCCTTATTTTTTCTTTTAAATTTTTTTTTGCTAGAACGGATACATGCAGCTATCTTTTCTAAAACCTTTTCAATTTTTATTCTAAATAGAATTTTTATAGTGTTTCCATATTTCTTAAAAAATAAAAGTAGCCATGTAATCTTTATGTAGAATCAAATGTTTGGATTTGGTAATACAGTACTACCCTCTTAGAGACAAGGTACACAGGAGTAATAACCCAAGAAACTGATTACCTTAGAACCCTCCCATCTGCCTTTGATCACAGATGACTCCTCAGAGTCAGCATTCTTTTTCAAAAGACAGGTTGGTTTGCTGCATTTTCTCCTCCAGCAGCCACACAGGCAATTTAAGGAAGTTTATGGAGGCAGAGACCCCTTGGAGATGATGGTAACATAATGGAGCAGCACTTTGCATCCCACCTGAAGTGACAGAAGAACTTGGGCCATACTGCTGTTTCATATATTTGAGGTATTTTATATCTGCAGTTCAGCAATTCTGTCATATTTGGACATTTAAGGCTTACTATGATTCTGTAATTGTTAACAAGCACTCGCAAGGATCTAGTTCTAAGTTCAATAAGAAAAGAGTCTTTTCTACCACTGTACATCTATTTGTCAGCTTATTTTTTCAATTACTTTTAACCCCCCCCCCTTTCAATGTGGATGCACATGTCAATGCAGTTGAGTGTATCAAGGAAGATGAGAGCAACATTCTCAGGAAACCTCCATTATGAATTTAGACTAGTAGCAGTGTCACTCAAGGTGAAATGCTCAAAGCATGACTCCTCAGAGTCAGCATTCTTTTTCAATATTGGATAGGAGTACATATTCTGTTTCTACTGAGCATTATACCAGACAATATAGATAAGACAAAGAACTATCTAGTTATATATATATTTAGTCACTGCAGCCAGAATTCTTTATGCCAAGAATTGGAAGAAATTGGTGATACCAAAACAAGAGGAACTTACTGAAAAGATACGGGAAGTGGCAGAAATGGATATTCTATCAGAAGTGTTGAAAGACTGTCCAATACAAAAGGCAACTGAACGATGGGATTTATTATTTAAATGGCTCGAGTCACCAGATAGTGCTTGAATGACATAGATTTAAACTAAGATGTAAATGTAAGTTAAAACCTGGGGGGCAATCAAATTCTAGAAAAGCGGAGAGCCAATTTGATATTGCAACATGAATAGATTGGATGTCAGTACATTTTGTGTTCTCCCCCCTCCTTTTTTCTCTCCCCCCATATCCCCCTTTACCTTCTATACCCCTTACCTTATCCCAAGTTGTTAATAAAAAAGAAAAGAAAAAAGATGGAATACTCAAAGCTGAGATACCAGACAGAGGTACATGCATTCTTTACAAAATTTAACAATTACATCAGCAAAAGACAATTGGTAAGGCCAGTGGTGGTGGTGGGTGGTGAAATTTTTGAGGGGCATGGACTGCATAGCAGCAGTAGTGGAAGGTAAGACTGGGAGATTACATTTCATAAACAATGGCAGTGACTCTCACACTAACTCTCGCTCCTATTGTGCAGAAGGTTGAAATAGTAAGACTTTATGAATATTTTATATCCATAAAACTCTATTAAGAGACAATCCAAAATAGAACAAGAGACAATGTTCGAAGATAAATTCCCGGGTTTGAATGCACTCAGTCAGCTACTGGGAAGAACAAAGAAAAAGTATAAATGGGAGCGTTGTTAATGAAGCAATTGGATTAAAGTCCAAAGGAGGAAAAATTGTGAATGCGCAAAGATGCAAAAGAAAAATCTAATGTTACACATCGCGTATAAGTAGAGCATGAGATGTCAGAAGTAGGGATCAAGGCAGAGTTAAAATTATATTTAAAAAAAGAAAATGGGATGTTTAAGCATTGGAATACATGGTAATTACAAAGATAAGATACAAAGGCTGGTATCTTATCCAGGGACCAGTAGAAAGTGAATTGCCTTTTGTTTTCCTCTCATCCCGCCAGGCTTTCTATCGCATGCCTCATGTCACAAGTCATCCCAAAATGAAGGCAAGGCCAAATATGAAGGAAGGAACTTGCCAGAGTGAAGGGAATGTTTACATGGTTACTCTCTGCCTTTGTAGAATGAAAACAAACTCAGAAGAAATTGTGTGGCTCTAATAGCGTAAAAGGAAGCCTTTATCTGTATGGAGAACATTTCATACAAAAAGCTGGAGAAGGAGGAGTGAAAATTCATGGAAGAAACATCAGTAATTTTAAACATGCAGAAGACACCACAGTGACAGAAAACAGAAAATATACCATAATGACAAAAAATAGAAAATGTAGTGGCAGAAAACAGCACTGACTTGAAGCAATTGCTGAGAAAGATTAAAGAAGAAAGTGAAAAAGAAGGCTTACAGCTGAACATTAAGTTGACAAAAATAATGACTACATAATCAAGAAATCAGAAGAAAACTGATCTTGGGGGAAAACCTAAGAAACAACTAGAGAAGATCCTTAAGTATAAGAATGGAAAATGCAAAGGTAGCAATTTTAGCATTTCTGTTGAGTAGCACTTCTGCTGGGCAGAGAAAAAAGCAAAAATGTTTGCTATTTTCATAGATAAAAGAAAGAATGAAGTTTGGGTAACACCCTTATTAATAAATAATTACATACCACTACAATTCCAGCTTATGGCGAGCCTTGCCACTGCAAGTAATCAAACATGGTTTACCAGTGCCTTCTTCCAGGACTAAGCAGCTTGTTCAAGGCTACAAATGCTGGTTCTTCTTCGAGGGGGCACATTAGTAAAACAAACTCATATCCTTGGCTCATTATGATATCCAGCCAGATAATAACTTCATTAGGCCAGTTAAATGAGGGTAGTATTAGAGTTACTGTCCAACTCTGGGTGTTTTGTTTGTTTGCTTGCTTTTTTTGTTACTTCTGTCATTTGTGCATTTGTAATGGAAATCATGCTTTGGTGCTGACATTGGTGGCAAAGACAAATCTGGCAAATTTGGTGGTGGAGATGTATGTACAAATGAGTTAAAATGCATATACAGATAAAGATGGGTTGTACCCCAAATTAGAATAACAATAGTTCACACTTCAAAGGTATCATATGGAGAAAATCTAAAACTATTCCACATGGTAGCAGATGTGAGATTATCTTGGTCAGCAGCTCTTTATAAGGCTTAAAGCTACGATTCGGAATGTATCTCCCTGAAATACTTTAATAAATGGCACCAAGCCAAATACATTCACTATGTGATTTCATACCATCTGTATCTTTTAATGTACATTTTAACTCATACCTTGGGAATGGAGGCAACAAGTGGCCACTGAAAATGAATTATAAGCTTATTATTCTCTGATATCTGAAAAATGAAACTAAGCTAAATTTCATTTAAGCAAGGCTACTAATTTGTTTAACTGGGTGCCGTAATTGATTTGTTTAGTTCTGCTCCTGCAGTCAAACATAATAAATGATTAGAGTAAGTGCCTTAAAAGGCAATCTTTCAATGAAGCTATTAAACTATTGCATTGTTACAATGATAAACTTTACCAACTCAAAACATCTTCCCAGAAAATTCATTTAGAAAGAAAGATGCGAGAGAGAAGCAGTAGTGGAGATTTTTTTAAAAGGGATCAATTCTTCACAATAAGTGTTATAGGCTGCGAGAAGATTTTGCAAATAATGAATAATCAGAAATTACAAGACAAAAATTATTAGCCTCCTTTATGCAGTATTTAAAAAGGTGCATGCCAGTAAATCTATACTGAAGTGAATAGTCAGTGTGTGCTATGCATTGCTTTGTTTTTGTTGTTCATTGAATTAATTTTTATTAAAATATAATCTCATCTTGCGCATTAGAGCCATGTTAAGCAGAGCTGAAATTTCATTTTGCCAAGCAAAGAAAAGAAAGAAAGAGATAGGAGATAGCCTGACATGCAAAAAGCATTAGCTTCAAGTCTACAAACCTGTTCTTGATAGGCTGGTTCCATCCAGCCTAAAACCAGCTTTATCTACTG